CTTCTAAAAGATGACAGGTACCAGATACCATGATACCAGAAACCAATACCAGATAACAGACACCAGATACCAGACAGCAGACACCGGATACGAGATACCAGACACAGATACCAGACACCAGATACCAGAAACCAGATACCAGATCCACTACAGATACTAGACAACCGGATACCAGATACCAGAAAACGCACGATACCAGATCCACATACCAGATACCAGATACCAGACACCAGATACCAGATACCAGATACTAGATACCAGACACATATACCAGAACCAGATACCAGACAACAGATACCAGATACCAGACACCAGATACCAGAGAGATACCAGACACCGAGATACCAGATACCAGACACCATATACCAGATAAAAAAAGATAACAGATACCAAATACCAATACCAGATACCAGATACCACACACACAGACACCAGATACCAGACACCAATACGAGATACCAGATACCAGATACCAGACACCAGATACCAATACCAGACACCAGATACAGATACCAGACCCAGATACCAGATACTAGACACCAGATACCAGATCCACATACCAGATACCAGATACCAGATACCAGATACCAGACACCAGACACCAGATACCAGATAACAGATACCACCAGACCAAGATACCAGACACCAGGCACCAGATACCAGACACCAGATGCAGATACCAGAAACGAGATACCAGATACCAGATAAAGAGATAACAGATACCAAATACCAAATACCAGATACCAGACACCAGACACCAGATACCAGACACCACATACGAGATACCAGATACCAGACACCAGATACCAGACACCAGATACCAGACACCAGATACCAGACACCAGATACCAGATACCAGAAACCAGACACCGGATACCAGACACCAGATATCAGATACCAAATACCAAGTACCAGATACCAGATACCTGATACCTGATACCAGAACCAGACACCAGACACTAGATACCAGACACCAGATACCAGACACCAGACACCAGATACCAGATACCAGACACCAGATACCAGATACCAGTTACCAGATACCTGATACCAGACACCAGATACCAAACACCAGACATCAGACACCAGATACCAGACAACAGACACCAGACACCAGATCCCAGACACCAGATACCAGATACCACACACCAGATACCAGACACCAGATATCAGATACCAGACACCAGATACCAGATAAAGAGATAACAGATACCAAATACCAGATTCCAGATACCAGATACCAGACACCAGATACCAGATACCAGACACCAGATACCAGACACCAGATACCAGATACCAGACATCAGATACCAGACACCGGATACCAGATACCAGACACCAGATAACCAGACACCAGATACCAGATACCAGATAAAGAGATAACAGATACCAAATACCAGATACCAGACACCAGATACCAGATACCAGATACCAGACACCAGATACCAGACACCAGATACCAGATACCAGACATCAGATACCAGACACCGGATACCAGATACCAGACACCAGATACCAGGACACCAGATACCAGATACCAGACATCAGATACCAGATACCAGACACCGGATACCAGATCCCAGACACCAGATACCAGATACCACACACCAGATACCAGACACCAGATATCAGATACCAGACACCAGATACCAGATAAAGAGATAACAGATACCAAATACCAGATTCCAGATACCAGATACCAGACACCAGATACCAGATACCAGACACCAGATACCAGACACCAGATACCAGATACCAGACATCAGATACCAGACACCAGACCACCAGATACCAGACACCAGATACCAGACACCAGATACAGATAAAGAGATAACAGATACCAAATACCAGATACCAGACACCAGATACCAGATACCAGATACCAGACACCAGATACCAGACACCAGATACCAGATACCAGACATCAGATACCAGACACCGGATACCAGATACCAGACACCAGATACCAGACACCAGATACCAGATACCAGACATCAGATACCAGATACCAGACACCGGATACCAGATACCAGACACCAGACACCAGATACCAGATACCAGATACCTGATACCAGATACCAGATACCAGATCAAAGATGCCCAAAGGATAAAAAATGATTAGAGATAGGGATAAAGTTATCGCTAGCATTGCATTAGGATACCAGCAACTGCGCTACGTGACGTTTTAAATAAAGACATCAACGTGCAATATTTTGCATAGCGTTAGCGTGCCAGCAACTGCGCTAGTTTCTATTATTATAACACGTTTGTGATATCAATTGCTTTTAAAGGACCTGCACATCTACAGTGTTGCCGAACCGGCCAAAAAAAAACGGAATCGGTAAATAGTGTCATTCAATTCGGTATAAGGAAAATTGCCGTCCCAAGATCAGTAGTAGATCAAGGACCTTTGAGTCATGAAAAAAGTCTGTTATTGTATTGGGCGCGCACACAAACATGTTTTTTGAGGGCGTAGTCTATATTACAAACTTCTACAATGTGCATACTGGTCGCTCTTTCAAAGTACATTGCAACAATTCTGGAAACTCCTTTTTCGATTCTTGCTTATAGGATTGTGAATATTTTCTGTTTTACCCCTGAACTGATGAACTCACCTCTAATTTTAATTAAATATTTATTCTGAAACATAGAGGTTTCGGTTTCTTTATTGCTTGTCCGGTGATGAGGTAATGACGGTAATCTACCGTCAATATTTCATTTGAAGCTTTTATTTGTCATAAGATTTTAGCAAAACGTAAGTTTGTAAAGGCAACACCGCACCCTGCAGCCCAGTTGACAAGAACGACAATCTGTTAAGATTACTGATGTTTAGATCCACAAAAAGAATCGATATGTATCGATTCTTATCGTTTTAGGAAGTATCGATACTCTAAAATATTGGAATGAAATTATCGATATCCAGCGGAAGGAAACAAAGAAGGAAGTAATCTGAAATTAGTCACTCTTTTCTGATACAGTCTGGATCGAAAGATGACGATTACTCGTGAAATGTATCGATACGCCCAGTGTCGTATATAAAAATATCGATATAAAATTTCGGGTAGGGAAGCAAAAGTATCGATACTTCTAAATATAGGATCGTATCGAACATCCCTACTGTCAAGATGTATAACCCCGAGGTACCGACGGAGCTATTTTGGGGCGTCATAGAAATAATTTTTAAATTTTCATTTGCATTTTTTAAGTGTTATGCAACGATTTTGGGAAAAATTCCATATAAAGCATAGTAGAGTATATTTCAACAGTTGGCGGAGCCTACCGGTTACCCCACTGGGACCAAGGGTTGACGGATCCCACACATGTGTCACTCGTTGGGGAGTCTTGAAATGTACAGTAATAATCAGCTGTTATTCAAATAATGTCTAATATAAATAGAACCTAGAATGTGTACTCAGTGATGAAACAAGAGAGTTATTGCAAATTCTATTTTTTTGCAGGTTTCAAGTTTGCCGGTAGCTTTACGACATATATTTGAGTATTTTAATCGCTGTAAATACTGTGTGGATGTTTGTTCAGTTCCTGAACTACCAAAAATATTTGACTTTATGGATGTATGGATATCAAAAACCCTGAATGGTTTTGTGGGAATATCAATCGACGGTGCTATAATGGTACTGATGAACAGCAAGTAAATGAATGAATGTCTGGAAACGAGCAATATCTATGAAATTTTGGTGGAGCCTGTCATCAAGTAGGTGCTTAATGGCTGTATGCAAGAGGTTTATAGGTAAAAACACACGGTAGGTAATGTTGAATTAGTAAAATCGCATATCAATTGAATAAAATAATATAAATATGAATAAACAATCGGCAATATTAAATAAAAACATGAATTTTGTTCAAAAATCGAACACTTTTTTAAATTTTTGACTAAACCATAATATGTAACTTCTTAATAGTCAATAAGCTGGTGATGTTTCAATAACAAGCTGTCATCTCATACTTGACAGCATTTTGTTTTCAACATTTCATAGCTATTGGTTGCTAAAATTTGTTGATTGGAACTTGAAGCTCATTCGCTGTATTTGACGGAGTGTTACCCTATAGGTGGAAAATAACGGACTGTTGATTTGACCATCCTCGTGAAATCCACCCTTAGTAGATTTTAAAAAAATGCGACGTATATCTATCAAAAATTATAAACGGATCTTTTTTAAATATTAGCATACATCCAAAAATGAACCTACCCGCTGACAATCCGGCAAGCAACCTTCCAAGGATAAGCATCTCAACACTACCAGCAGGCTTGCAAGAGAAGAACATTACGGCAGCCATTGCAGCCAAGGCAGCGCATATCACCAAGACGCTCTTTCTGCCCAACCGGGCGGCCAGTGCAGAGCCGCCCAATGACCCTACGGCCGCCCCCAATATGAACGTGCACACCACTGTGGACCATACTATGTTCAGGGCACATGGGGATGGATAATCGCCATAGTGGGCGAATATACTTTCGTTGCAGAATTGTCGGATGATCTGAAATTGGAACATTTATAAAAACGACTTCAAACGATTAAATAGTTTGTTCTTGTAAAATAGCTAAATGCAATCTCTTTCATACAAAAAAGAAATATCAAACCTGTTCACCCCTCGTTCATCCATTTATTCCTCTCCCAATTATTGATGGCATGGAAAATTGATGGGCGATATATGGATGGATGAAAGAATTAGACAAATTAATTATTTCCCTAAAGGGGCTCTTTGAACACTCTTCAAGGGTATGAAAAAATTAGCAGGTCATTGAAAGTATTTGTTTCGAAACGATGACCTTTCTTAAGAGTGTGAGTATTTTCTTGAATTTGTAGTCCACCTAGTGGTTCGTACTCTTAAATTCGACTTGATCTGCTTTTGCGGTGTGATGTTCTTTTAATCAATTGCACCAGTGAATTTCTGTGTAAAATATCCAAGCAAAGACTACTCCACGCTGTCTATTTATTTTTAGACTGCGGCGTGCGCTCAGCTCCAATGGTTGAGGTAGCAGTATGTCTGGTAAAAATAAGCCACCAGACATAGATAGGCGATGTGAGGATTGTGAAGAGGATATCCGTAAAGGCAGTGCAAAGTAAAATGTTGTAATGTAAATTGTGAAGTTACCCTACATCAGAAATGCTTCTCATCGATTGCCAAAGCTATAAAATTAGAAAAATCATATGGCAATGGAGCTTGCTAAAGTGAAGTTAAAATTCGGCTACTATTAACTGACCTTATTAATGAGTTAAAATCTACTAACAAAATTTTGCTTGATAAAATTGAACAAACCACATCCAGCAGACCTCCCGATGCGCAAATACAGCAGAATACTGAAATCTCGAACCTTATAGTCAAAAACTAAACAATCATACCAAGGCTGTTTTAACTATTTCGTCAAATGATCAAAAACAATCAATCTCTGATGTTTTGAATACTGTTAAAGCGAATGTTAACCCTGCTGCTGAGAAAATAGGAATTAATGGTGTTAAGCTTATAAAAAATGGAATGTTGATTAGTTGCTCTGACGAAGAATACTCAGAAAACCTTAAAGGCGTAGTTCAGAATAAGTTTAGCAGTAAGTATAAACTAACAGCTCCCAAACACTTCAAACCCCGTCTCTTGATTGCTGATGTTGAGAAATCACTAATTGATAAAAACACTTTCCTCAAATAATGATTACTTGGTTGAATGTATATAAATGTGATATCTATTCTGAAGCTAAAATATGCGTTGAGTTATATAGTAGAGGTTGATCCTGATGTGAGGAAATTAGATGTTTTAGCTATTCTCGATTCGTTCATTTGAAAAACAGGTTGCAAAAATAAGTCTGTGTGTTCCCTATATTCTGATGGATATTTTTAACTATGTTAGTAAGAAATGTGTGAATTGCTGTGTATATAAAAAATTATATGAAAAGTCATTCTAGAGATTTTAAGCCATATCCAGTTGATCATGCTGCATCTGACAGACAATGTCCATGTTATTTAAAGGAATATGGTGAATTAAAATCTAAAATTGACTATGGCTAGGGCTAATAACAAAGTTTTAAATATTCGTCATCTCAATGTGCGGTCCTTGACTACTGCTTTTGTAAATTAGTTCAAAACAAATTCGATTTTATATGTATTACCGAAACGTGGCTTAATGAAACCATTCCGAATCAAGCTGAATCTAGCTAGGCTATCAGATTTTGCGTAGAAATCGTTTGGGTAGGGGTGGGGGAGTGGACTTGTACATAATAAATAACTTCAACAATACTGTTATTGATACCTTTGATTGTAAGCGACTCTACCATAAGCGCCCATATAGCAAACTCCAGCAGTTGGTGACAATTGAAGACCGGGGGAGGGGAGGTGCAAAAAACTCACACGCCACTTTCTTACCCAAGGATTGGGTATCTTATTAAGAATATTTCACTTTGAAGCAGAAGCCATGGGGCCATATGCCCCCCTTGCACCCCCCCCCCCCCCTCCAATGGATGCCCATGGACTCTACCTTAGATTTGATGTGCTGCAAACTCAGGATGAGCAACTCTACACTATTTATTGTCATTGTGTATCGCCCTCCTCATATTTCAGTTACGCAGATTTGCTTTCTTTTTTCGTACCTCAATATGATAATAAATAGTTCTTGGTTACATGAATATTTACCTTTCAAATCATGACAATCCTTTGAGCAACTATTTCGATCATTTTAAATTTGATCAATTAATAAATGAACGTGTAAGTTTCCTAAATTGGAATCCAAGTTAGTAACTTTTAGAGATATAAAAAATGTTAATGTCATTAATTTCCAGGGCGGCTTACTTCATGTTGGACATGATAATGTATTTTATTTTATGGATACTGATGAAAAAGTAAGTTGTTGAACTATTTGCGTAATACACATGTATTGATATCCATGCGCCATTACGAACTGCTCGTGTAACAAAACCGGCTGCTCCATGGATAACGTCTAACTTGAAAAGCATTTTTAACAAACGCGACAAAGCGCTCTCGAATTTCCGTCATACCCATCTGATGTAAACTGGTCTACGTACAAAGATATGCGGAATTACGCACTTGCTTCCTTCCGTAGGGCGAAGAGAGCCTACCTTGCTAGGATAAATACTAAATTACATCACGCATATTATTAATATCTGCTTAGAGAGGGGCGTTTTTCCATCCAACTGGAAGGAGGCAATAGTCACACCTTTAGCCAAAAATAATAATCTATCTGAACGTGCCGATCTTAGACCTATAAGTGGCTTATGTTTCTTGTTGAAAGTCTTAAAGAAAATACTATACCAGCCTGTAGTGAGCTCACAGCGACACTAACATGCACCGAGGTCTCTTCCACTCACACAAGGGATCTTCAGCCACCCGCATCACGCGCAGGTGGCGCCTTAATGTGTTATGACCAGACAACAGTCAAACCAGCTACCTTAGATTAGCTCTATCCAAAGATAAGCAGAAACGTACATCCTTAGCGCTGGGCTCTACAATGAGTTCTCGTGTTGTCTTGCATTCCACTTCTCCATTTTCCTCCTAACTCTTTGCACGGGCACCCCTAAGGCTGGCTCAGGACCAACGAGCTTGCTGGATGATCCTGTCTTCGCCAGAGCGTCCGCCGTCTCATTCCCCTTTTGCCCAGCGTGTCCCGATACCCACACTAACGATAACGGATGCCTTGTACTAGACAATCTAGAGCCTCCCTGCATTGCAATACAACACTCGAAGTAATCTTACAGGCACTTAGTACCTTCATTGCAGCCTGGCTGTCGGAGAAGATTGTTATTCCTCTCCTAGGCCCACCCCCCTCCAAAATGAGGAATACACAAGCCAAGAGGCAGAGATAGCCTAGTTGTAGGCCCAGGGACCCCGGCGCCAGAGCCCTCTTCGGTGACCGAGCCGTCCGTGTAACAGACTTGCCCACTCACTCCGGCGAACCTCCGGCAAACCAGCGTCCCACTCATACCACATTAAACTTGCGATCAAAGCGATATTTAGGGGTAATTAGATCACCCCTGCTCTACACCTTGCAGATGAGATACTTGACAACCTTGACGACAAATCCGGCACGCTGTTGGTCATGCTTGATTTTCCAAGGCTTTCGATACGGTCAATCATGAGATTCTTTTGAGTAAGCTAAAGTATTATGTCGTTTGGTTTTCAGAAAGTTCAGAATCACATCCTCTTCCCTGCATCTGGACAGAAATGCCAGGGAAGCCAATAGTTGAGCTTTCTTTTTCCTTAGTTGTTGTAGTTGTCGATATCGTACTGTTACTTCCTCCCCATAGAGGCGTTGAATGAAATGAGAAAGCCTTTCGCGGCCATCATCCAATGTTATTTGATCGGTTTTTGGGTAGTTAGGCCATCGTAAAATATTTTTACTTGACGTTTCGCCAACACATTACCGTACTTTGACGAACAAAAAGCGTCCTAGCGCTCATACGGTTTCGATGGACGGCCCAGTTCTACCAAAGAGCCATTCAATCCGGCTGGTCGGAGTCCAGATCACCGAGGACCTGATCTGGCACGAACACATCTCGTCAATAGCTGCAGCTGCTGGGAAAAAGCTAGGCTATTTGTTTAGGGCTAAGAAGTACTTTTCTCCGCATGACCTTCTCACTCTATACAAGGCCCAGATAAGGCCTAGCCTCGAGTATTGCTCACACATTTGGGGTGCTGCCGCTCTGACTACATTGTCTTGACTACATGCTGTCCAGAGGAGGGCGGTCCGACTGATCGATGACTCTTCTCTAACAGACAGTCGGGACTCTTTCGCACCGGCGGGCCGTCGGCGATATAGTTCTTTTCTATCGCTACACCAACAGGCTTTGCTCCTCAGAGCTCTCTTCCATGATGCCGCCGCGCGATGTGCCTGCCAGACAGACCCGCCTGACTTCGGCGTCCCATCCTAACCGTGTCAAACTTCGTACATCCAGAACTAGCCGATACGATCGCTCCTTTGTCCCGAGGGTATCTAGATTGTGGAACAACCTACAAGAGGAAGCTTTTCCCAGTTCTACTACTACCTTAGGCAGTTCAAAAATCGTATTAACAAAATTTCTTTGGGATCATCATAGCAGCCGCGGTGTTCCGGCATTTAGGCTTCTGCCTGCGCGGCTGTTTCGATATAAAAAAAAACACGAGTGGTTGGCATCCTCAGAAGGTGTTCACAGTTCGGAGATGCCAGAAGACCGGGCTCAGGGGATGGATCCGTACTGAAGCAGCCATAATTTTACAGAAAGCTAAGCCACCTAAAAGCAACCTAAAGTCGAAAGAATTAAGAGCAATAAGATCTGAACAGAGACGAGAATGTTCAGGTTTTGCCGGCGGACAAAGGGAATGCCACCGTGGTCATGGACACCGAAGATTATACATCCAAAATCAATGACCTCTTAGATCGGAGTACCTACAAACGGCTAACCAGAGACCCAACCCAACTCATTGTCAGAACAACGAAATCACTGGTACAAAAGTCGAGCCTTAAAGATGAAATTAAGAAAAAGGTGTGCAGAAGTGAAGCACTAACTCTACGAATCTATGGCTTACCAAAGATCCACAAAGCCAACATTTCCTTGCGTCCCATTGTTAGTGCTATAGGCTCACCAATATATTACCTAGCCAAGCACCTCACAACCCTGCTTCAACCACACATTGGGCAATCCAACACGTACATCATTTCATATCAAAAATAAAGAAAATTCATCTTGAAGAAAACGATATACTAGCCAGCTTTGAAGTAATATCGCTCTTCACGAAAGTACCAGTTGATGCTGCAATGGAACAGATCAGCCGGATTTTTCCAGACGACATTGCCAATTTATACAGACTGTGCCTGACAACACAATATACGAACGAACTGAAGGTGTGGCAATAGCAGCCCTTTGAGTCCAGTGGTAGCGAATTTCTTCATGGAGTATCTTGAACAACGTGCTCTCAGCAGTGTACCATACAAACCCAAAATATGGTTTCGATATGTCGATGACACCTTTGTAATATGGAGCCACGGACCCGAGAAACTTAATGAATTCCTCACTCATATCAATAGCATGCATAACAACATCAAATTCACCATGGAGCTAGAGGACAACGGCAAACTACACTAAGTGACATATAAATCCAAACACCCAGTTTAAATGGTTTTATTTTAATAAAATTTTGTATAAGTACTTAATGAAGCATAATAAGTAAATAATAAAAATTTCAAAATGATTGCACTGCTTTAAAGCCCTTTGACCTTTAATAATGTGTGGATGCACCCTGATGTGCTACGCATTCTCCAACGCGCCTAGGCATGCTTCTGATCAGGTGGTCAATGTCCTCCTGTGGTATCTCATTCCAGGCAACCACCAACTCCTCTCGAAGTGCTTCTAGAGTCTGAGGAGGACGTTGCAAATTGAGCAATCTCCTACCCATCATATCCCACACGTGCTCAATTGGGGATAAGTCGGGAGATCTTGGTAGCCATGGTAACAATGTGACATCATTATGTTGAAAGAAGTCTATTGTGACTCTTGCAACATGTGGTCGGGCATTATCTTGTTGGAAAGTTGGATCTGCCAGGGTGTCAAGATAGGGTAAAAGATGGGGTTCTAGAACTTCGTGGATATAACGCTGCGCGTTCATGTTACCTCTGATGATTAAAGGTGACCTGGAACCATAAGCTATAGCACCCCAAACCATAACTCCAACAGTGTGATGAACATGTCTTTCAACAAAAAACTGTGGATTCCTCCTTTCACAACGTCGCCTTCTAACCCTGGCACGACCATCGTGCATGCCTAAACAAAATCGAGACTCGTCACTAAAGACAATACTGTTCCATTCCTGATACCAGAGTGACCGTTGTCTGCACCACTCAAGGCGATTACGTCGGTGTTCTCGAGTTAAAGGGAGGACCCAGTGTGGCCGGTATGAAAACAAGCCAAAACTTCTCATTCGTCGGTAAACACTTCGCATGCCAATAGGTCATCCGTGTTCTGCAAACCATTCATTTGCAATGGACCTGGTAGTGGAGAAACGGTACCTTAAGGCCAATAATCTTAGGCGGCGATCTTTACGGTCTGTTGTTCTACGGGCGGCGTCCAGTGCCCCTTGCTCTTTGCGTACGGCCTTCTCGAAGCCATGCCTGACAACACCTAACCACAGTGTCTACACTTCTTTGCACTCTAACGGCAATTGCCCGAAAAGAAAGTCCAGCTTCCCGAAGTCCCACTATACGGCCCCTATCAAACTCACTAAGTTGACGAAATCGTATATGTAGGTCTCCGTACTCTAGGCATCGTAACCGATCTTAAAGGATGTCAAGAACCAAAATCCGCCAACGTTGATTCTTTACTGCAGCTGAAATATTCATTTTTAGAGCGATAGTGAATTAAAAAAAAGCAGTATAAAAACCGGAATGTCCAACTGATAAGGCTGAAAATTTTTTCACTTGTTATTTACAGTAAGATAAATACATTCACCAATTTTTATTAAAATAAAACCATTTAAACTGGGTGTTCGGATTTATATGTCACTTAGTATATCTTTCTTGGACGTATTGCTTACCCGCCGAGAAAGACGACTGGGGCATTGGTATATAGAAAACAAACGCACACAGATCGGTATCTGCATAGGAACTCCAATCACCACCCTTGTCAGAAATATGACATCATTAAAACACTAACAGAAAGAGCCAGGAGAATCTGTGAACCCGAAGAACTGGATTTAGAACTTCAACATCTAAAAAACAGCTTAATGGCCAATGGATACTCAGAGCTGGAAATTAGAAAAATCCATGACATCAAGTAATGCCAGGGTCAAAGAAAACAACCAACCAGTGGCCAAAGCATATCTGCCCTATATTCCCAGAGTCACCGATAGAATTGGACGTCTACTTCTCAAGGAGAACGTCAAAACAATATACAGACCAACGACAAAAATAAGTGAAAGTCTGAGATCGGCAACAGATAACAGAAACCCCTGTCGTCTTCGGGATCGGGAGTCTATCGCATACCTTCTACTTGTGGAAGTGTGTACATCGGAACAAAAAAACGATCATAGTCCAGTTAAATAGCCGAAACATAGCCACAAACGGTGTAATAAAGGATTGCGAATATTGTCGTAAGAGTTTGGTTTTCCGGAAATCAGCCGTTTTTTGTAAAACAGCGAAAAACCCAAAATACCTCTTTTTCGCTGAAACGGCTGAGGATATCTGGAAATTTTTTCACGTGAATTTTTATAATTTTTGGGCCATCAAAAAAGGTCTCTGCTATTTTTTTGCTAAATGGCTTAGTTTTCTCGCTACAGCTTGCTGATAGCTTGTTGGCGAACGGCTTACGGGGTCAAGGACGGCGTACACGTATCACCAGCCGCCGCACCGTTGACGCGGGCGATCCTCTTTTAATATTTGGACATCCTCAGTGTATCACTCTCAGTGATAGGTCAGTCGATTTCGAATAATAAGCTCGTTTGTAGTTGTGGCGTTCACCGACGTATGCATATTAATGAATTTTTGAAATTCATACTTTTAAGTCGAGTACAAGATGCAGTAATTTTTCTTCTGCCGCTTACCGATTGGCTGAATAAGTGATAATATTTTCATTCAGAATTGGAACAACGACAAAAAACCTAGAGCTGCAAAAAGGTGTGAACGTGTATATAAATGAGTGTCAATGATAAGAATACATTAGAGGATGTAGAAGCTCAATGACTCATCAAAAGACTCGTTTTCGAGGCTCCACGTTATTTTTAAAATCTTCCTGGCAAATCAGTTTGATCACCAGTAGTTCTTGATCTACTACCATGATAAGAGATTTAGCAGTTCTTGAGCCGCGTCTATACGTTGGGCTAACATACGCCAACGCAAATATGTAAAGAATAGACAATGGCCTATTGTGATGAGCATTTGACGATGTCTTCTCTGCGTACTCGCTGTGGAAACCAGTAATAACGCTCATTGGTCTAGTCCTAGTCTCAATGTATCGATGTATGCTAGCTTGACGTGTAGACACGGCATTAGGCTCTGCTGCACAGGACGTTACACCTTATTTGTGCAGCTCAGGGATTTTTTGCGTTTCCAATTATTGATAATGGAAGCACTATAAGTATGTGTGTGTACATTTCAGAGTTCAGTTAATTGAACAGAAACATAATAAAAAAATTGTAAATTTATAAAAATACACAAAATTGATACATCTTCCGATAGACAGTTGTCCATAATTTCTTGTCTCCAATGAAATATGTATACGGAAAAGATATTTAATTTTAATTCTAAAATGTACACACACTTACCTCATTTATCCAGTCAATCGACAAGCAACTGAAGAGAAATTACTCCGCTTACCTAAACGCATAAACTTCGAAAATTAGTTCAATCGGAAAAGTCGGTGAACGCCAAACTGACAAGCGAGCTCAGAGTTCAAAATTCAACGAATGTACGGCAAGGCTGCCAGGCGTGGCGATTTTTCGCCAAATTAGCGATTTGACAACTTCAAATGACGACTAAAATTTATAGCTTGGCGCCCAGTGCCGATATAATAATAATAAATCGTCTTTATTTAGGGGGCGAAGTTTAACATAATGCTACTCTGCCACTTAACTTAACCCCCCCCCCCCAAAAAAAAAGAGAAACGGAAAAAATACAAAAAACATAAATACATTTGATAGGTTACAAGTTTAAAAATGTAGGGGTATAAAAAATATGATGTATATAACATACATAAGTGAAAGGCTATTCAATATTTCATGAGTTAAAAGTATAAAATTGTAACAGTTATACAAAGGAATGCTATATTGGAAATATTTTTGTGTGAGGTGACAGATAAATTTTATCTAATTTATATACTTCTATGTATTCCAAATAAATTTCTTCATATGTCTTTTAAATTCATCATATGATAGCAATTTTGTGGATCGAGGTATAGCATTATAAAAAATAATTGTATAGATTAATGGAACATGAAAGGTGGACCAACGGAAGTTCTGTGATCTAAGCACAATGAATCCACCCCATGTGAATGAGCTTATAGTTTCGTTCAGATTATACGTGTCTAACACCCCTAAAGTCTGACAGGATAACGATGAACTTCATAGCATTGACTCATTTTTTCTTAATTTTGCAGTAACTTTTGTTGCCTTGCTGTAGAGGATAAATGTTTTTGCTGTGGAATGACTTAGTTTTTCTGCAAATAAAGTTTTGATATGCTCAAAATGAACCTTTCTGACTTTTGCTTTGAACATGTTGCTTTTAGAGATGTAGAACTGAATTTAAAAGAAGTACTTGATTCTTCGCAAATTATCATATTTTTCAACTAATTATATTGTCCCTTGTCGCAGCATGTCCATATTCCTACACCCGGTCTAACCAAACCATACATGACACTAGAATAAGTACACTTATACGAAATTTATAATATTGCGTAAAAAGCTATCTAGATCTTTTGTTAGAATGAATTTTCCATACAACTACGTGGTTGAAGATGGCGGGAGTACGAGTATATGTTACATACAAAGTATACTCGTAGATGGTCAGAAACTCGGGCCAGCTTCTCAGTTGCGAAATATGTGTAGATTTTTATTTTTATGTAGCAAAAAACAAAGTTAATACCAAAATGGATTAATTTCATGACGATTGATGGTCACTGAATACTTGGCTAATTAGTTTGCACATCAATTTGTTTTGAAGCAACGGTCACTGCAAAACAAATAATTT